GGGCACAGTGTTATTCGTGTGTTTAGCCAGCGGCAGGGGTAAAATTGTACTTCGGGCTTTCGAATGTTCAAAAAAAGTATAACAAGCAGAAAAGGCTGAATTTGGTAGACTTCAATATTAAAAATTTGATATTGTTCACCAATTTGCCCCCAGTCGCGATGATATTATAAATCTCTTTGTATTTTACTCTTAATTTGAATTCGGGAAAATCACAAGCGACAGATGTTTCACGCACAGTTTAATCAACATTGTCATAAGTATTATTTGCAAAAAACAGTGTCCTAATTGTACCTGCGTTAGAAACAACATGTTCCTAGAACCCGACAGTCCATAAAGTCTACCCCTGCAATCATTTCCATTTCAAATTAGTAGTAGTCGAACCTGTCCAAACTTTTTTAATCTTATAATTGTGTTCTAAAATGTTTTATGTTTATGTAACAAACAGATCAATATTGTTACTGTAAAAATTTTGAGTTCACGTACCAATTTTAAGATATCCAAGTTACATATAGTAGGAAGCATGTTCCATAGTCAATAACGATATGCCTTTCGGTACAGAGAAAGCGTTTTACATCCATCATCATCTCCTATGAAAAGGCCTTTGAAAATGTAAAGCCAACGGATAGAACAGCTTCCCTGGCATTAAGGCAGAGCAACGCTAATCACTTTCTTAATGTTTTCACGTTAAGGTGAAGTAGATACACTCCATATTTTATTTAATATAAATAAACTGTCAGTGGAAAACAATGATCAAATATCAAAAATTAATTGACTTTCTAATTTCAATAACATACATTATGTATGGCTTTTGAAAGTGACACTGTACGTATTCTACAGAACATTCGTTTCGTTTTAATGAAGTTGCATATCCCACCTTTCTCCTGATTACTTTTTTACCAAATAGGAATAAAAACTCATCTTTTTTGGATTCATATACAACAAAAACCTCAATTTTTTTGATTAACATCATACACTAAATATTCCAAAGTCATTTCATTAATTAAAGGCGTGAATAAAGTATAAAATTTTTGAAAATGAAATTCCCTGAGGTAGAAATAATGCGTCACATAAACATACAGATAAACGTAACTCTAACTTTCCATGGTTCAAAATAAAAAACTTGTTCTGGCAACTTTGAAGCCGATAAACGATCAAAGTCCCAATTACAGTGATAAAAACCGTTTGTAATCATACCCCCGACAATAGAAACATTGGTGCTTTGACTGAATTATTTATTTCTCCTAAAAGATTTATCAGCTTAAATTCATCGACAATTATTGTTTCCTAGTTTCATTTTTTCCTTCTGTAACACGTACAATCAGTCCCCACAGTACATCGTTATAATGATCTATTCATATATGTGTATTGTACATTTGTGTAGCAGGTTTTGTATGGATTTATGTGATTAAATATACAACACACCTTTAACGACCGAGTGCATTGTATAGAATTTGAAACTGGAACTGTAAAACTAATTCAATATCATCGAATTGGCAAATCAAATTAATGTCAAATCTTTTTTCCTCAGACCAATCTTCATGTCAACATTTTCTCTTTTTCTTTTGTAAAAGTACAAATGTGTTCGCAATTGCGAGATTTACTATTCGTTAAATTTCTTCTACAAAAACCAACTACATCTGCATATTTTCAATCGACAAAACCTAGTTTGAATTCTAACTTTTTTTAACAGGGCCACCATTCATTTATCCTGTGTCTAATTTTTTTCTTAAAAAAAAACTAAGAATCTACAGTTAGAGTTAAGTACAATTTTGACATCATGTAGTAAATGTAAAAAGTTCCAAAAGTATGAGTATATAATTACTATTTGAATAAAATTTGCCAACATAACATGAGTGTGTAGTATTCCACTGGAATTAAACGTCCTTTAGTGTAACACTAACTGGTGTAGACTGTATTTTTTTAGTCTCGATCTGGATGTGTGTTCAAAGTAGCACCTAATCGTACAAGTGTAAGTGTTTGAAGTCTTCCACATCGTATGATGTTAATGATATTTTCCCCCTTTACCTTTATACTCACGAAACTACATACATTGAAACTTAAAGCAAAACCACCGAGCCTTGCTTACGTCAAAGTTCGTAAACTCTATATACCAAGTATACCGTCGACCATAATGTCAGTGAAACTTCGTCTATACTGTAGCGGTGTTAACAACAAAAATTATTAATCAAACTTCAATTCCCCACATGTCCTTTTTAACTTTAATAGCATACCACCTCAGTTTTAAGCTTTTAAGGGAATATTATCCAAACGTTAAGTAATTTTTTAAAAAAATTTCAATCTCACTACCTATAGGTACATTTTTCCAGTTAGCAATGCTTTCCACATTTTCGTACTAAATTAAATTTTACAGAGCTTAAGGTAAAAGGCCCAGTTTCTGACACTCTAAGAGTGACAGCTGAGATTTTATTACGATAACTAAAATAATATTTAATTAGAATAAATAATTTTTATACTATAAACAAGTTCAGAGTTTCTAGAAAAACTCATATATGCGATATAATTATTTGAAGCGAATTAGTAATTTTAATTAATGATTTAAAAAGTGATGTTTGAAGACTCAGTTTCTGACACTTAAAATTTCTTGTGTTGTAGTTTCTGACACTCATATTTGATGATGGTTCTCTCTCGGTTAAATTATGTATTATCAAGTTTAAATAAACTATAAGTAATTAAGTATTCATTAAAGATAAATTAAATATTTATTATAAGTAAGATATTTTATTTTTAACAAAAATAATTAACTCCTGAACTGGGCCAGTGTCAATAACTGGGTCTTTTAACTTATATAGAAATTTTTCTGTACTACATAGTATTTTTTAAAAAATTACGTTGCCCTTTGACGATTGCATATAACAACAAGTTTCCGTCATGTAGAATATATGCATAAATTATGTACCTATACGTGCATTGGTAATTATAATGAAAATCCTCATTGCTTAATGAGTATGTTCTGTTCAGGCATGTATATTTAAGCATAATAGTAATAACGGTAAATGATCTGACAATGGATGACGCATCTAATAATTGTAACAACAAAAGCACGTTTGCTACCATTCAATGTAAACCACGAATTGATGGTTAAAGTTTATGTTAAAATGCAAACATCAATTACAGCTTGATCAGGAGCTTACCTACTAACTAAACTAATAAGCCTAATACTTTCAAACTAAACTATTCAAAACTGAAAATACACCGTAACAAGCGGCTAGTTTTTAACGACGAAAGAACAATGAAAACCTAACATAATAATAATTAGTAACGTGTATTATCATCGACAAACACGCTACCGCCAAATCATTGGGAAAATGGGTTTACGTCAGTCATCAAGTACATACCTAGACGAAAAAAGCAGATAGAAGAAAGGGCCGTCCACATTTTTTTATACCTCCTGCGAGTCAATCTTTTGTTTTTTCGTTCGTATAAAAAAGAAAAAACAAAAAAGCGGAGCAACGAAAAGCATTGCAAGCAGCGCAATAAAAATAAAATCCGCATTCAGTTTTTGTCCATAAGGAGATCTGTTATTAACACTCATTTCCATAATGGAAAAAGAATTTTCCACTGTGCCGTGAAAATTTCTGTGTGTATTAAAGCAGACGTTTAATTTTCCAGAACCACAGCAACAAGGTAGAAACTGCTCGGTATTACACTTAAGAAAGAATAGCACGAAGTTGTAAAAGGAAGGTATTAACCGAAGCATAAAATCGTTGAATGCTCTACAAAGCCTTATATACTTTATGTACATGTACATGTATATTATATTTGTATATGTATATTTATTTATATATATATTAATTGCTCACAGAAACTACAAAACAATTTTATTATACTATTTTACATTATGGTTTTCCTTTAACGAAATCGTTCTTCTTAGTGTAAGGGAATACCAAAATACTTGGCGAAAGTAGACGACAATGAGATGAAAGATAAATAATTAAAACGAATGAAAATTACTGAAAAGTAGCGATTTGTTTATTTTAAACAAAGAAAAAAGAAGGTAAAAGAAAGAAAAGAGTAGAAAAAAGATGTGACTATTAATATGGTCAAAATAAGGATTCAATAACTATTCCTACATTTACGTTATGATGGAATTATTATCATTTTTCATTTGTATAACTGTACTGCTGGAGAAAAGAAAGCCATTATCAGCAGCAAAAAAATTTTAGGGCAAGAAAAACTTTTCAATTTTTTGATAGTTGATTTATGTCCCTGTCTCCAGAAATCGAGATCAGGAGTCAAGATGCCTCATTTTTTAAAATGAGAAAGCAGAGTCGGGTGACCTCTCATTTAAAGCCTCTTTGTATTCCTAACACTCCATACTACGGCAGTGAACCATTTTTCGTGGATATAACTAAAAATTCAATCAAAATTTTTCGATATTGATATTTCAAACGAACGCGTGTTCAATAACACCTTAAACAGTTAAATTTTATTTTTCTGACAGACTCGTAAATTAAATAACAGACTTTTTTGCAATTTTGAAAATGTGGTATCTATTATTTGAGTCAGTCAAGACAGGAAATAAAGAATATTTCCAAAAACCACAACAGTTATAATCATCACAATAACTTCTCTGCGAAGTATTCCGGTACTTTGTAGGTATTAGCCCTGTCGGTTCCGCGATCTTCCTTCGGTACTTTCGGAAAAACAAAGGGAAAACATCAAATAGCTTCCTTCACCGACAAATAAAAAACAATTGAGCGCACTGGTATGTTTATTTGCGAATGGTGCATGTATTAAAGTTGAAAGTTCAAAGGGCAATAAAGCCAAGTTCTTCAATTCTTGCAGTTTTATTTTACGATCAATATATCGTAAATTTTACGCGCTAGTCGTTTATTTTGTAATTCAATACAGATGCATAAAATAAAATTTTATAGTTACCAGATATACATGGGATACCTATTGTCTCAAATGTTTATTTTTCGTATTGATAGAAAGTTGGTCATAATCAAAACGATAACAAATTAAGTTTTCGTTCTTACCATAAGTCCTGTACATGATAAGACAGAACAGCAGCAGTAAAAGGTGGGCCATCCTGTAAAATAACTTTGTATCAGACATATTGCAGCATTTCCCAAAATTGTATAAGTAAAACAGTACTTGTACATACCTATATTTATTTGCTACAGATGTTCTTATAGACAGCAAATTACAGTTGGTTCACCAAATTATTCTGTGGCATCTCTAATTAATTTCCACTATGACAGCAATTTATACTTAACCGAACGTGGCTTTATTTATTTCAGATATACTATTGATAATAGCACTAGCTTTACCTTGAACTCTCGATGTTATCATTTTAAAATAAATCTCTCTATCATCAAATTGATTTTGATTGTGTTTTCTTTGCGTAATTTAAAATCAGTTATTTCAAACAGATAGGGAAAAATTACTAGAAATATTCACGTCGACGCGTGTTACCTTCCCCCGTAGAGGAAAGTCCTTGACGGTTATATCGTCTTCAGGGGTTGAAAACGCACTGGCTTCGCTTGAAGTTTAAACTGAATTCGACGTCGGCACTACAGCGTCCCGACGTCCCGATTAAACGCGACCGCAGCCGACTCACCCGGAAACTGTCAGCCACCTTTGATACAATCACGGTAGATAATCACGTCCCTACACGGACAGGATCGAACGGATATAAATTCACGTGGGGGTGAACTCTCTCACAGACCATCCACGACCATTTTATCTGGATATTTCTAACAGTCCAAATGATATAAAACACCCACGGTACCTTTTACAACAATATAAACCAATATGCACGTATTTGCTAGAAAAACACCTTTCTTCTAAAGCAAAAACCCGAAAAACTAAAACTACATTATATATTTGAATGCTAATATTTATAATCGCATTCGCGCCCTTGGAAAGAATAGGAGAACAGAGGACTCTATGGAAGTCAATAAAAAATAGGCGAGATAGGTTGGTAGGACACCTTCTTAGGCATGAAGGTCCAGTCAGAGACATATTAGTGACAAAAACAGGAGTTAAGAGGGGTAGAGGTAGACCTAAACTAAATTACTGTTCGCAAATAGTTGAGGATGTGGGCTGTTCTAGTTTTAGGGAAATGCGAAGTTTAGCTCAGGATAGGAAAAAGTGGAGGTACGTGTCCAACCAGTCTTAGGACTGACGACCTTATGATGATGATTCGCGCCCTGGCATTGGTCAAAATTACCACAACGCATGCATAATTTTCACCCTGTGCTGTTCGAAATAGCCACAACGCGAAGTTCGTAATGTGCCACGGGCCAAAATAACCACAACGCATAATTTTCATCGTGATACTATTCGAAATAGTCACAAAGTAAATTTTAGAGTGGATCATAAAATGAAATGGATGCTCTATTTTTTTTTAAAGCTTAGGTCACAGAGCGTTGTGGTAATGAAGGCTTTCCACGAGCGGTTTTTGCCACATCAATTTGCTAATATGAGTCAAAAATGCACGAGCATATATGAATTGCCAATCTTTTGTGTCAGTATTTAAGATCACTTTTTAATTGAAAAATTCAATCTGCGCTTGCCGTTAATATTTCATTTCAGTTAGCCAGCTATGTAAGCCGTACCTTTCCTTGCCCTTCCGGTGAAACGGCGTTACTTTATCTTCATCTAAAAGGAGTACGTAAATCATATGTAAATCCTGACGGAATATTAAAACTTTACGCTTTTCGTTTTCTGTTGTGTCTGGTCATATAATGGTCTCGTGAAAAGACGGAATTCTTGTAGTTCCTTACTCATGAAATGGCGAACAAGCCGCTACATAAAATTCAGCTTTCAGCTATTTAGGGACTACGGGCTTCATTGTTTTTCCGTAAAACGGATATGAGAGAGAGAGACTAATTTTAACGTAAAAACACCAAAAAATATGTATAACTAAACAATTTAAAAGTGAACAACACACCAATTGTTTTAATTAGCTTGTAAAGTGTGTTATAAGCACATAAATTTGAAGTAAAGTTTTCATATGCGTGGACTGTCTAGGAAAATAAGTGGGCTTACGAACTTTAAAATGGTTTGAACGCTATTATGTACATGGCTTGATGCTGCAAATGATCTAATTGTTGCATTCTGTCGTACTTATCTAAAGTTTTCAACTACAAACTTAAGTTTCGCATTATTTCATGGACACTAGTAAATAATTTTAGAGGTTAATTAATATTCCTGTTGTGCAGAATATATAGAGCAGTTGTTTTATAAGTTTGCTTGCTAAGTCCCTTGCAGCTTTTGCTTTCTTAATCTAAACATTTATTCTACAATAGAATCGCTAACATTTTCTACATATGCAGGTGTACATTCGACTAAGAAGTTGAAAAAGTCTAGAGATGAGATAAAACAGCTATTAATTTAATACTTTCATCTTAATATTGCGTTAACAAATTGTAAACGTTTAGAATGTAAATAAACTAAAATCCATACTAATAAAATTACGGAAAAGTCAAGCTTGACTTTCAGTACCGTTTTACTTATACATACACGGCAAAAATATTAGGAGCTTTTACGTTGAGTATAGAGCTTCTTCTAAGTCATTGTAGAAAATTCTAAAGTGAATGATCAATAACCTTTTAACCGAAATTAAAATTAAATGAACTAAAAACGAAATTAACCCGTTTACGATAAAAGTTAAGTTCCTGAAGCGATTTTGTTTTTGAAAAGGTTATTAATAAGTTTTTAACTCACTAAATCGAAAACTGATAGCAAAATACTAATCTGATAATAACACACCTAAACGCTTTAAAAAATTACATTCCTACGTATGAATGCATGAAAACTCAATATGCCTGTGTAATAGGTAATATTAGGTAGCTAATTCTATTATGGATCGACGTATTCGAAATATCAAATGATTTTGTAACAGAATAGCATATACGAAATAACAAACTAAACGTTCATTCCAGTTTTGACTAAAATTGTTACTATTTTACTAAAAAACAGAGTTACAATAAATTAAATCAAAATTAAACAGACAAATAATTCTAAAATGACGTTTTGAATTTGTGGAATTTTCTTGTTTGTTACCATTAAAAGGCTAGCAGTTTTAAATAAGTTTGAATGAAAATTTAATTTCCTTTTCTGCTTTTGTACTAAATAAACTTGGAAAATATTCAAAATAGAGAGCGTTTTTCGTATTGTTGACACCGAAACTGTTCTACTATAAATAGCAAAGAGAACGGGAATATTAAATAGGAAACGAAACAATGAAGTTAGCAGTTCTGGTAGAAAGTTGAATATTTAACAGTTTGGTAGGCAAATAAGTGAAAAGCTTAAGATTTTAGTTGCAAAACAGGTCCACATTAAACTAGGTGTCGGGAGACAATTACGAATGTTGGAAAATGGGACGATTTTCCTCGCTGGAGCACATTTACGGGATCTCTCATCATACTCGAAAACAAAATTACTGTCAGCTACATATTGACAGCAGTAGCGGCACCAATGTTTTACAAAAGGATACGACAGTTAGACCTTTTCGTTGGTTGGATCCATAATGGCAGACGATGGGAAAACTTTAGCTTCCTGACTTGGCGATCCGGGCTGTACGTAGCCTGACTAATACATGAGTATTATATCATCGGCCATTTTGGGTCCAGATACTAGATCTTATGCTACTTAATTTGTCTCAAAAGTATATTTCGTTCTCAATTTCTGATATTGTCTCTAAAATTTATGTATACAGATTTTTTGTGATAAGAATTCATCAATGAGCCGCTACTGTTTAGCTTAGCGTCGACTTTTCCAGCATACCAATATTGCAGTTGCTGAAGATTGAAAAACTTGAAAAGTCACAAAACTTCCCATTTCCTATACAATTCCTGAAATATTCGCTCATTGTTAACTCGATATAATTACATGTCCTTTTCACCGCGTTCACTCACTTTTCTAAAAATATTTGTTTCGCAGTGTAAGACGATGAAAAGATTTCCCTGTATTTCATTGCATCAGCAATGCATATTTGAAGAAAATCTTTTCACTTCCGTTGTAAAGAGAGACATGAAACTATTTTGATACTTTGTATTAACAAAAACTGTACAGTTTCTTTGTCCATATTAATCTGGCTCAAATGTGGTATTATCACGTACAAGTGTGGAGCTATAGATCTAAAGTCGGAAAATTCAACGAAGAGAAGTTCTTCTATAATTCATCTCCACGCATATTATCTTCGTTTGCATTTCGAAATCTAAATGGTCAATTTTATTGCTAGTTTTCATATCAGTTAATTTAATAGCCCATTAATTTTCGCTAATCTCTCAAATATTAATTACTGCCCATTTCGCACAGCAGCAGGAAATAAGAAAAAAGGCGCATAATAAGTTTAAAAATGTCCTTAGAATCTTTAAGTGACTTCTACCAATAGCTCGTTAACTCGCGGTTATTTTCTCATATCCAATAAACGCACTATTTATTATCTTTAAGAACGGAAAGATCAATAGGAAAAGTGCCCATTTAACCCGAATTGAAACAAGGTAATTAAACAATTATTCATGTTTCAACGGGAACACACCTGATGGTGTATAAAATATTTAAAAGGACGTTCAATCTAGTACCTAAGCAAGCATGTGTTTTACGACTTTGATCATTAAACATCATCTACAACATTTAATAATTCCCAAAATCGATTTGTAGATGTTTATGTTAATTATTCACTATCCTAGCTCTAACTAATAACAAAATGATTAACTTGTTAATCTTTTATAACGTTTATAGACACTATGTCAAATTATTTTAAAATTCCTCGCGTAAAATTGATAAACTTAACAATATGTTCAAATTATGCCATGATATACTTTATTATGTGAAATAATTTTGGTCTGATACTAGTAATTAGCAAAAAGGTCTCATTTTTTCATGTGCCGTTTATCTTGCGAAATTGTTAAAGGAAATGATAAAGTAATTTTTCTCGAGCTCTAATTATGTAAATCACCCCTTCTTTTTTTCTAAGTTCTGGCTTGCTGTTAGGTAATTATACTAATACGCATGTTCTTTATCGAAGCTTTAAGACAAGATAAGAAGGTTAATTTGTTAGAAAATCCCTAGCGGGCGCCAGGGATCCTTCAGGATCGATTTTCTACCAACACTCAACCAGTATTCTTAGCAGATGAATATTAATTAGTTATTTATTTCTGCTTTCACACTTTATCCCTAGCTATTAACAACACATCAATCAATAATATAATCTGGTTGAAAGATTACTTTAATATTCTGGTCACTGTCCGTCGATCGGTCATTAAACAGTTCTAGAGGTAAAACTACAATCAAAGTTCTGAGTACCTACCCGATGCATCCTAGTATATATCACAAATGTGTACGATTATTTCAATTTGGTCTCTAATTTAATTAATTACAGGTAAAAGTAATTTCTTATACACAATTATTAGTTTTAGTTTGGCAAAACATCAAGGAGTGAAATTCTCATTTGATATTACGTACAATGCTATGTTGGAGAAAAAAAATTCTCAGCTTTTGC